TTTTTTAACTTTAAACCGCATAAACACATTTCATTACACCAAATACACAAAATAATGTTCTTTTTAGCAGCATCATATGACCCCTTTAAATGGTAATTGTTTTAAATAAAATCAACATTAATTTCAACCAAACAGCAATTGCTGCCAAGTAGAACTAAAATGTTTCAAGTGAAAAACCTTAAATATACATAAACAAAAGGAAGAATGTTATTGAATCATTTTTCAAATTTAATATACACTAATAAGTTAATTGTGAACTAAATCTGAAACTGTTAAAAATTGTTTTCTTGAATTGAAATAAAGCTGAAATTAAATAAAATCTAAATATATGAAAAACGTAAATGAAAATGAGAAATGCTGCCTTTGAAACTAGCAGAAACAAAGTTGAAGTAATGAAATTACTAAAATTAAAGCTGAAATAGAAAAATTAAAACCAAATAGAAAAATTAACAATTAATATAACTGACAGAAATACATAAAATTACAAAAACTTAAAGTTAAATACCAAAGTAAAGAAAGAACATGAAAAAAAACAGAAAGAAGAAAACTAAATATAAAAATAACACCGACACAAATTATAACAGCAATAAAAAAAAAAGTTTTACCTCTTTCTACATAACAAAATGAGCACGCCACGCATAAATATACAATAACATTGCTGAGTTTTCCCCCAATCAATTCAATGACATTTTGAAATGTTACAAGACAATTTGTCGAAATTACTCTAATTATATTTTTGTTACTGAAGTGTAGATGAGGAATGCTCTTAAAACATTCTTTAATGCTCTCATTCATGCCAGTCAAGAAAGGATCACACACCTAGTGACTTAGACAATTTAACAACCAAATAAACAATTAATGGCCAAATAAAGAGTGCAATGCAAAATTCACAATGTTGCTTAATTCTCGCCATGAATAATTGGTATACTGCCCAGCACTATGGAGCAGGGAAAAATACCACAGCAAAACAGATAGGGTACAACGGGGCTAAAGGCGCCTTTGATATTATTTTCATCTAAACCACTAGATGGCACAAAAATGTGGCGTATCACTTTCCAAAACATCGGCTTTTCAAGATGCACGTTTATTTGTCTGATCTTTGACGCGATCACGCAGCAGCGCAAAGTTGATTCTGTTCTTACTTGATCTAATATTTGATGTTTTTTAAAATGTTGTAAATTTAAATAGCAAATGAGAATCGCTAAATTGAATGCATATATTTTAAGACAAAGGTCTTCTTTATGATTTTCAGTTTTGTTTAAGATAATTAAAGCAACAGTTTTTAAATAACGAAAGAATATGTAAAAGTATGGTATTTGGGGTAAAAAGCGCCCCTGCTGTTGGGGCTAAACGCGCACAGCAATTAACATGATAATTAATAGATGGCTGACTTTTCCATTTCTTGGCATGACATGGTTAGATTCAGATGGTAAATATCATATATTATGTTGGGTGTCCATATTAGAGATAATCACCCTGTTTAGAATGAAACCATCATATTTAAAAACATGATATTAATCATATCATATAATAAAATATCATTTGTTGTTACTACTGTAAATATATATTCAATTATTATTGGATCTCTTTCAATACTTTCAGAATCTTTACTTAATAAAATGATTTTGTTTCTGTATTTTAAAATATATTTTTATATTAACATATTTTAATGACAGTATATTTATAGAACAAAAATGAATTCTTTTATTTTTCAAAATAAGCAGAAAATAGTACAAACTTTGCTAAAGTGATTGTTTTGAACAAGTATTAACTTAGAAATTACTTAAAAAACATTATTTTAGCTGAAGTATTTGTATCAATACCGTGTGCCTTTTACCCCATGCTGGTGGGCCTTTTACCCCGTGTGTGGGGCAATTCACCACCTCATACATTTATAAGACTTTTAAACAAAATAAACAACTTGATTTCTTTTTTCACACAAAATCTGTTGCTCCATTAATTTTCAATACAACGAATATATTTTTTTCTCCAATTATACATTTTAGGCGCAGTGAATAGCACATGTTTTCTTAAGGTGGGCCTTTAGCCCCGTTGTACCCTATCTGATAGGGGGTTTGGGGTTGGATACTCACATCTGAGGTAATCAGAGTTGAGGTTTTCAATGTCTGGGTGTGAGGACAGAGCTTTATAGACTTCTTCATGCTCCCCCACTGGTAGAAAGTTTAAAAGGTTCTGATCCACCAGGTCCGACTGAAACAAACACGATTATATATGAACATATAACAGATATAAAACGTAGCAATTCCAAGACCAAAAGAAATATTTAAATAGACTACAAACAATCTGCCAACTCTCACTTACAGGTAAATGCTCAAGTAGAGAAGTTACGCTTTCTGAGGTGTAAATGATGTTGCCGTCTGTCAGCATCACTATGAAGAACCCATCCAGCGCCTTAAAAAAAACATAAAAACGCATTACTAAAGCAGCTCCAACCCATAAACTAAAAAATGTAAAAGTGATGGGTGAAAAATGAAAAATATTAAACATGAATGAGGATGCACTCATTTTTTTTATTAGTGGAAACATCTTTCACAACAGGAAGAAACAGAAAGAGAAAAACGAATACAAACACAAATATTGCCCAAAGCAAGGTCATACCTCTAGCATCAGCTGTGTAAACTCCTCATTGCTAAGAAATGGGGGTTTCCAATCTTGCTTGATCTCACTTGACTCAGACTGTGCAGCAATTTCTGCATGTGAACACAAACAATTCCTTAGAAATAGTTTTCCTCGGATCTGCATGTTTCAGTTGCTTAGAGACTACACTACCTTTAAAAAGTTTTGGCTCGGTAATCAAGTTACCTTTAAGAAGGAAAAACAGTAATATCATGAAATATTATTACAATTTAAAATAATTATTTTCACATAAAATACTGCAGTAGTATGCTGCTTTGTGGTCATTAATTCATTCATCCATCCAAGATGTTCATGTCTTTCTTTCTTCAGTCGAAAGAAATTAAGGTTTTTGAGGAAAACATTCCAGAATTTTTCTCCATATAGTGGACTTCAGTGGGAGCCAACTGGTTGAAGGTCATAATTGCAGCTTCAAAGGGCTCTACACGATCCCAGACGAGGAATAAGGGTCTTATCTAGTGAAACGATTGGTCATTTTCTAAAAACAAAATAAAAATGTCAAACGTGGTTAGTTCTTCGTCTGTGCACTTCGGTTAAAAAAGGTAGGGTAGTGCGAAAAACTCATTTTCTCCTCCAACTTCAAAATCACCCAACATCGTTGTTTTACCTTTTTTTTTGTAAAGGGCATTTGATTTTCTTTGCACGTTCGCTTTGTAAACACTGGGTTGGTACTTCCGCCGATGTCACGCGTGACCTTTCTAACGTGATTATGTAACGCATGAAGTCAAGGTAGTGCAAGACGAGTAGTTGTGGTTAATAAGTATATATATAATTTTTTTTAGAAAAAATGACTGATTGTTTCGCTAGATAAGACCCTTATTCCTCGGCTGGGATCATGTAGAGCCCTTTGAAGCTGCATTGAAACTGCAATTTGGACCTTTAACCTGTTGGGTCCTATTTAAGTCCACTATATGGAGAAAAATCCTGGAATGTTTTCCTCTAAAACCTTCATTTCTTTTCGGCTGAAGAAAGAAAGACATGAACATCTTGGATGACATGGGGGTGAGTAAATTATAAGGACATTTTTATTCTGGAAGTGAACTAATCCTTTAATTCAAGAGTGAAGTACAGTTATAATTATATTTATATATTTAACTTAGAAAATAAAATATCTGGAAGATATTAAAATTCATTGGTGATATAACTATGTATCTGGAGTTGGGGGTTAAGCATATTGCATTGTGGGATTCTGTGCAGTATGATGTGATTTATACTGCACCCTTTTGGCATTTTTGTAGGTCATCCAGGTATACAATGCATACAGATAATTAGCATATGGCTCACAACACACATACTGCAGAAACTGCATGAGTAGCATGATAGTAGAGCTGCATAATAAATCAAGATTACAACTTTTGCTGTGATAAATTAATTGTGAAAAGTGATGATTACAGCATTCCACTTGGATGTAAATCACATGCCAACAGTTTTCTATGTATTTGTCTTCTTTCTATATATATGGCTTTTTTTGCAGCAGCAGCAGCAGTTGAGCATTAGAACCCATCACACACATCTGCTGTGTGCATGGGTGCTATGGCAAAATAATAATACAGATCTGTAATTATTCCAGTAATTATTTGCCTCACCTTTGTGCTTGCGCAGGTAGTCTATGCTTTTCTGCAATATTGTAGACTTGTCCATTTTGCGTGTATTTCCAGGCAACATGGTGCCAAGTTCCTTAATGAGGACATTGAACTGGTCTCGCCTTTTCTTCTCTGACTTATTTCTCGAAACTCTGTGATTGAAGATAATAAAGTTGAGAAAACAAAGCATTAGAAAAGGCTGAAAATGCTTATTCATGATAAACACATCACTTCAGACTTGCTGGAAGAAAACTACAACTGTAAACATTAACCTTTAGACCAACAGCTGAAGCATGCAAGCATAACCCGTTAAAATAGTGCTTTTAAACAAGTTAGCGTGTTTTATGATGCGTTTATGATATTGACATATTGGCTTATGTTGTTCATGAGAAAAGTGAACAACATAAGCCATATTAATAAGCCCAGTTCAGATGAAGTTAGAAAAATGCTTGCGTTTTAGTAGCAATGCAATACTGCGATGCAAGAACACATCTTGTGGTTTTCACATACAAATAAATACTCATGTCTACAAGTAAAACAAACATTCTTGTTGTATTCTACAAGTTGGTACCATTTCATTATCACGAATATGTGATCTCTGTTTATACCCATTTCTATTACAATAATATTTCATAAGTTAATATTTAATTGTTCATTTCAGAACAACTAAAATCAGCAATTTAACTCACTGTTTCACCTTATCTTTCTCATCTTCCTCCATCAGCCCATCAAAAACACTACCATCATCCCTAAAATAGGACACGCATTTATTCTCTGTGTGACGGAAAACCATTTTTTATTTTCTGTAATATGTCATGTCTATGTCATAAAATAATTTTTTTGTTTTGTTTGCATATTACTACAGAAAGAAAGAAACAGAGAAGCGATGTCCTTCTAAAAATAGACTAAGGCCGACGACAAACTCCTACTGTACTTTTTTAATATGTAAATGCAGAAAGTGGAACACTGAAATGCATGGGTGAATATAAAATTGTAATTACATTTTAATAAGCAGGTTGTTGATATATGCATGCATGAATTCATACATTAATTATATCTAACTACATTTTCTGTTGTGCTACTAAAGCACCTAAATTATTTTTGAAGTACCATTTAAATGTTTGGGGAAAGAATTAAAACCTTAATTCAACAAGGATGCATTAAATTGACCAAATATGACAATAAAGATATATACAACATTACAGAAATTAGAGATTCCTATTGCAATTTAAATGCTGTTCTTTTGAACTTTCTATTCATCGAAGAATCACGAAAACAGTATCACGGATTCCACAAAAGTATTATTCCAGCAAAAACATCATTTTTAAATATTGATAAGAAATGTTTCTTGTACACCCATTCAGCATATTAGAATGATATCTGAAGGATCATGTGACACTGAAGACTGGAGAAATGGCTGCTGACCATTCAGCTTCGCTATCACAGGAATAAATTACATTTTAAAATATATTACAACAGAAAACAGTTATTTTAAAATGCAATAATATTACTGTTTTTACTGTACTTTAAATCACAAAATCAGCATTGCTAAGAACGTTTTGAGTCTTTTTACAAAACAAAACATTAAAAAATCTCGCTGAACCTGATCTTTTGAGCAATAGTGTGTACATATTGTTGTGTGAATTTGGTTTGAGCTCTACCTGTCTCTGGAGCTCATGATAATGCTGTCTCATGGATCAGTCTGGGGTTAAAAAACCTGATGCATTGGGAAGACATTGGTGAAGAGGACCTGCCAATGTGAAAGCCTGTGGACACAAAACATTAGATGAATTAAACGGTGAATTAATAGTGTAGTTTAATTTTGTTTGACTCTGTTCTTGCAGAGGTGAAATGTTAATTGATGGACACACAGAGTTCGGGGCCACATGACCGCTTACTCAACATAAATAGTTTTCTTTACAAAAGATATAGGATATATTCAAACTTTTACTACATTTTCACTTGCTGGTTCAAAAAGTCACACTAACTCTGCATCAGACCAAATCATTACCGAATTTAAAAGCCTCTAATGAAGTGCATTTCAAAGGATGCAAGTTAGAAAGGCATCTCAACCCTCAAACATGCTCATCATTCCACTTCAACCCAATCATTACATGGAAATTGCAACCACAACAGCTGTAATAACAAACATACCGATCATTCATTTACATCAGTCAAATCCTCCAAACAAGGACACTGACGTTGTGAGAAAACACCCTAACTGAACCAAACGAGTATGTCATAAAGAAAAACGAAATGTCACGTCAGTACATAAACAGCTGCATCTAAACTTAAAGAGATAGTACTACTTTTAAATACTTGTTAACAAAATCTTACACTCTCTCTGGGTTTTCCTACTGCAGAGCAGCCTATGGATCGCGGAACTACCGAATTTATCAACATAAATAAATTTGGTACCTACAGAGAAACACACTCACACAGGTGCCTGTCAGATATAAGCTCCTTGGACCTGAGATCACAATGCAGCGCTGCGTTGAATAATCGGCGCAATAACTAGAAATGCAATGCTGAATTTCATGCGCGCACTTCCTCGAGCGAGCGGTCTCGCGAATGTGGGTCAGCGGGCCCTAGTGACACGCGAGGCGTAGCGGAAGCTCCTCCCGAACGCCGCAAAATCTGCACACCTTTAAAATGCGTGTTTACTCGGGTGGTCGTAACAATACATACATTATCAGCTTAGACTTGTCTTCTTTTACCTTCGGTCGGCGGCCGTTCGAGGTCAATTTCGGTTTCTTCTTCTTCTTCTTCTTTGAGCTTCTTCTTCTTTGGATTTTTTTGGCGTATTCCGCACCATAGGCACATACCTTCTTTGAGCTTATTGGCGGTTCGCATTCTTAAAAGAGCATTATTATGGACTTACATTTCTGCCACAATTCTGCGCGCGAAAGATCATATTTTGAGCGCACAAAAGTGCATTTTGCACACGCGCGCAGAATTTAGCAGCCTCGGTCTCTGATTGGCTGGAATTATGGCACATTGTAACGCTGGGTTGTGTTGAGCATGCGAGCTGTTGGCATTTAGCGAGCACAGAGAGGGGGCATCAGGTAAGCAAGCTAGTGAAACGTTGCACGGGCAAAAGAGAAGGTCTGCACACATCCAAAAACGTATTTTAAATGCAAAATTGATTTCCGTGCGCTCGAAAGACTTTTTTCTTTGCGAAACAAACATTTTGTCCACAAACTCAGATCGCGCGCGTGCAAAATGCACTTTTGTGTGCTCAAAACATGATCTTTCGCGCGCAGAATTGTGGCAGAAATGTAAGCCCATATCTACGGTTTCGAACAGGATGAAAACATTTAGGCCAAGCCTACTTCACACGAGCAGTCGAAGTCATGCGCAGTAGCCTCAGTAGTATGAGGCTATATATAGCCACTTTAATTCACTTACAAAATAGTGTGCCAAGAATGAGCGCACTTCTTGAAAAGTTAAATACTGGTGCGCTATGCCTATACTTCGTGCACTATTGGCATAATTTTGTACATGATTTTATTTCAGCAAGCATAAGCTACTTTAATTGCCTAGTATTAAAAGGTACAGTGAAGTGGAGTAAAATACAATGTTTGATGAGACTAATCAGACGGGTTTTAATTGCAAAATTAATATGTAATAACAAATTTAAAATTGCCTAAGGAGCCAACAAACCAGTACTCAGGTTGTTTGCAGATATTAACCATTGAACTGTAAAATGTAAACACAATTCCATATTTTTTTTTACATTTCATTTAAATGTCTTGTTTGATCATTTAAGATTAAAATATGTAAAAGTTAGAACTAAGCATGCTGGTTTTTACTTTCTTAAATTGTTTATAATATGAACTAATACAACATACAGATTGTTGTTATTGTTTCGATTTAATGTTAAATAGAAATAAAGTTGGTTGAATTGAATTAAACATAAGGTTACCTCGTCCTTACAGAGATGTTTTATTTTTAAAAACAGATGGCAAAGCAGGTCCCAAGTCCCTTAAATTTTATGACTTTAAATGATTTTTATGACTTTTATTTTGGAATAAAATGTCGTCTTTTGTTGACGTCAGTAGCTGCGCCTGTGAGATTTTCAACCTTCTAATGTCACGTGTAAGGCTTTCTAAAATTAATCTCCTGAATCACGGTTGAGTCTGTTTTTATACATTTAGAGACAATGTTGATACCATTCAGAAGGGTGTTGCTTACTACAACCCGAAAACACAACTGTAGACTTTTTTCGAAGTCTAATACTGCTTTCGGTACAAGAAAAGTAAGTTTCATAATTCGCTGAATGTCTCTCTGTACATAAAGGCCACTGACAGTGACAAGCCATTCGTGTTGTTTTTATTGTTATGTCTGAATGAGTTTATTTAGGGTTTAGTTCTTGGCGTGTATGAGAAACAGTCAGACAATGACGGGATACATCTCACGGAGGCTGCAGCGGCATTTGACAGATCAATCTCAGGAAAACTGTCAGAAATGCTGTCGATGTAAGTCACTAATTTGACATTTGCATCCATCTCTTCGTTTTTTTGCACCATCCGTTCTTTCATTCCTCCTCTCTGCTCTGTAGATCTGGACCTCCCCTGAAAAAAGGCAAGAGCAGGATCTTCTATGGTTTACATCAGGTGTGAACTCACCCCTACGTGATCTTGGCTGTCCTTAAGATGCTTGATGGCAAGATTAATATATCAGTAAATTCTTACAAAAGTCCTTTTCTTGTGAAGGATTTCCCTAGTGCAGTTGTGGTTGGTCTTGGTAAGAGTGGCACATGTGTGTGTGGAAAAGAAAACTGGAACAACTGTAAGGAAAACATCCGTGCAGCTGTGTCAGGTAAATTACACAATTGGGTTCAGGTTAATCTGAAGAAAACTTAAGAACATGTCGGAGTAATACACTACCAGTCAAACGTTTTTGGACAGTATGATTTTTTATGTTTTTTTTTAAGAATTCTCTTACATTTTTTAATCCAAAATACAGCAAAAGCAGTAATATTGTGAAATATTTTTTATTATTTAAAATAACTGCTTTCTATTTGAATATATTTTTAAATGTAATTTATTCCTGTGATGACAATGCTAAATTTTCAGCATCATTACTCCAGTCTTCAGTGTCACATGGTCCTTCAGAAATCATTCTGATATGTGACCCTGGACCACAAAACCAGTCATAAGGGTCAATTTTCAGACCCTTCAGATTTATACATCATCTGAAAGCTGAATAAATAAGCTTTCCATTTTTGTATGGTTTGTTAGGATAGGACAATATTTGGCCGGGATGCAACTATTTGAAAATCTGGAATCTGAGGGTGCAAAAAAATCAAAATATTGAGAAAATCGCCTTTAAAATTGTTAAAATTAAGTTCTTAGCAATGCATAATTACTAATCAAAAATTAAGTTTTGATATATTTACAGTAGGTAATTTACAAAATATCTTCATGGAACATGATCTTTACTTAATATCCTAATGAATTTTGGCATTAAAAAAAATCAATAATTTTGACCCATACAATGTATTTTTGGCTATTGCTACAAATATACTCGTGCTACTTATGACAGGTTTTGTGGTCCAGGGTCACATATACTGATTTGCTGTTCAAGAAACATTTTTTATTATTATTATCAATATTTAAAACAGTTGAGTACATTTTTTTTTTCATTATTCTTTGTTGAATAGAAAGATCCAAAGATCAGCATTTATCTCAAATAAAAAGCTTTTGTAACATTGTACACTATACCATTCAAAAGCTTGGAGTCAGGATATTTAATTAATCATATATTTATTATTATTATATATTCATTATATATTTATTATAAAATTAATACTTTTATTTAGCAAGGATGCATTAAATTAATCAAAAGAGATGATAAAGACATTTATAATGTTACAAAAGATTTCTATTTCAGATAAATGCTGTTCTTCTGAACTTTCTATTCATCAAAGAAACCTAAAAAAAATTCTACTCCGCTGTTTTCAACAACATAATAATAATAATAATAATACATGTTTTTGAGCAGCAAATCAGAATATTAGAATGATTTCTGAAGGATCATGTGACTGGAGTAATGGTGCTAAAATACAGCTTTGAAATCACAGGAATAAATTACATTTTAAAATATATTCAAATAGAAAGCAGTTATGTTAAATATTAAAAATATTCCACAATATTACTGCTTTTGCTGTATTTTGGATCAATTAAATGCAGGCTTGGTGAGCAGAAGAGAATTCTTTAAAAAACATAAAAAATCTTGCTGTCCAAAAACTTTTTACTGGTAGTGTATTTCACCCCAAAATCTAAAAAAATTAGATTTCGCATAAATAAAATTAAGAAAGAATGAGTTCTGAAGGTTCTTTCTGCTTTCTATGTAAAAAGAAAAAAAATCTTACTGTAATGCATAATGTAATTGTAATCTTGTGGAATTCAGAAAAATACATATATGTGTGAGTTTCATTCAAGTAGTTGTGTTTTTCACAATACATGTATTGAAAATTGAGAACGCAGTTGTTTGTACAGTGGGCTGCAGGCAGCTTCAGGATCTGGAGGTAGCTCATGTCGAGGTGGACCCTTGTGGAGATGGGCAGTCAGCAGCAGAGGGCGCTGTGCTCGGGCTTTTTGAGTATGATGAGCTCAAAACCAAGAAGAAGGTCCGTGTCACGACCCAACCATATGGGAGGTATATAAAACACAGATCTTTAAATATTCATGTATTCTTAGGAAATTTATTGCATGATTTGTAATAAAGCCACACGCATGGCGCCCCTTACATTCATCCCAAGAATTCTGGCTCATCTTCTTTCCTGTTTCTTTGCAGTGTGGATTCAGCAGCATGGCAGAAAGGTGTTTTGTATGGGGATGGGCAGAACCTGGCCAGACAACTAATGGAAGCTCCAGCCAATCACATCACTCCCACAGTGTTCGCAAACTCGATAGAACAGAAACTCTCACCCTTTGCTCACAAAGTGGCTGTCCACAAGAGGTAGTGTCAAAGTTTGTTCATTAGAGTCTGTCATCCTTTCCATTAATGATAAAGCAACATAGCACTTTTCTGTGTTTGTTTCTCTCTCATTTTTAAGGCCTCAGTCTTGGATTGAGAGTGAGCAAATGGGGGCTTTTCTAAGTGTGTCTAAAGGCTCAGAGGAGCCCCCTATCTTTCTTGAGCTGCATTACAAAGGCAGTTTAGACTCTGCACAACCTCCTCTTGTGCTGGTGGGAAAAGGAATCACCTTTGACAGGTAACTACATCAGAACCTAAAAACATCAGTAGTTGTGAATTTGAAGCAAATAATGAGTTTGTCCATCTCATTCTAGTGGTGGAATTTCTCTGAAGCCTTCTTCAGGCATGGATGCCATGAGAGCAGATATGGGTGGAGCAGCCACTGTGTGTTCTGCTATCGTGACGGCAGCAGCTTTGAAACTCCCCATCAATATCATCGGTCTGTCCACTGCACTAGACACTGTCCACTGCAACCGTTGGCACACAAACTAACCTCATGTTTCTTATTTCAGGTTTGGCACCACTCTGTGAAAACATGCCTAGTGGAAAAGCAAACAAACCGGGTGATGTTGTCCGTGCCAAAAATGGCAAAACCATTCAGGTATTCTCCTCTTGCACATATTGTACCGATATGCACACAGAGAGCATGTATTACTGTTTGACATCTGCATCAAATGTTATTACTATAAAAAAAAGTTATCCTGAGTTTTTCCAGGGGTCTTTAAAAGGGTGTCTGACAAATATTGTTTTATCTCTATCAAACTGAAACTAAAATATGCTTTAAACAAAAATACAATATTAAGTTA